ATATTCCAAGAATCGTTCTCCTTCTTTACCATAAATCGATCAAAACGCATAAAAATTCACACTTCTTATTTCAAAAATCGCACGGTATTTCGTTTCTTTGCTAAACTTGAAATCAAATTTCACACATTTTACGCATAAAATTCCAAATTACTAAATATTTGAAAATGACTAAAATTAAGGAATAATCCCCTAGATTCGTTCATCCTAGTAACATCTTTCCTCCGGTAGGAATTTCCGCCTAATTTAAGCGAATATTTCTCCATAAAAATGTGAGAAAATTCACGTCTCCTGTTCGGATCGATTATGATTATCATTTCCAACTGACTACCGAAGGAGAAGACTTTAAGGGTGGTATCCTGGCAACGATGGACGAACCAATTTAACCTGAAACTCGAGGCATCGCTGCCAAAAGCGGCGTAATGGCCGTCACTCATCGAGAGTGATCATGAGGCCACGTGCGAAATCAACCCTCCCGCCTGGTATATAGCTTATGAACATACGGTCAAGTAAAATTCCTACCAATGCTACATTTTATCGACAAATCGATTCTTTCGCGTGTTTTATAGCCGCAGAAATAAAACGTTTTATACCCTTCTCGCGATAACCAACGTATCTACGATTAAGACTGATGAAACGCGTGTCGAAGGGCAACAGAATCGCCGTTCGACGTGGTAAAAGTCGATTCCTGTAAATATCTTTGACGATAACGCGAGAATAAAAACGATATTTCATTGTTTTTTTTTTTTTTTTTAATTCTAACACAATTTCTGTTGCAAATGGTTACGATAATGGAATAGAGGACTTCGAAACCTTTTTCATTCTCTGGAAAAATTCGTGAAAAAATTATGAATACGACTGTGGTAGAAAGAATTTTATTGTTTTTCTTGTTTTTTCTGTTCAAAAATTCTTTGAAGAGACGTTATTTTAATGTGAAACAAATTTTTGACAAAATTTCACATAATTTTCCCAGACGTGAAATTTCTACTGGCCTCATGCCACGATGCAATTATGCACGTATCACCATCTATCAGAGACTCTCCTGTTAATGAGGAATCACGTTCGAATATTCTCTCGGATACCGACATTTCTGACAACGTTCGCTATCTGTAAAGTGAGCTGACCATACTTCGTCGATGTAATTAATGGAACACACAGAGGTTCGGTGAATCCTATTAATTGCATCGGCGATCTACGCTGATCATCGTTCGGCTGGAACAATGCTCAACTTAGAGTACTGCTCATGGAAATTATATGTATGCAAAATGCATGTTCTTCCGGGAACGTATCACCTCTAGGAAATTACTTTGCAAATTAAGGGCGAATCTTCTGTTCGATGAAAACAACGAAATTCTTATTACGTGGAAGCCACATTTCTTTAGTGATAAAATATAAACATTTTTAATAAAATACGAAGATTTTTAAATAGCCGTTGAAATAAAGACGGAAAATGAAAGATAATCTTGAAGTAGTGAAAGTCTTCGAATATGATTTTTAAATAACTTAATCAAGCAAAATAATATTAAAGAGTCGAACAAGTATTGAAATCGAATTAGATGCGTTCAGAAAAAATAATCATGAAAAGGGGGAATGATAAATTTTTCTAATAATATGAGAATTCCAATCAAAAATAAGGAGAGATTGAATAACATGGTGAATTAGATGTAAAAATACTATATATAACCTAGTGAAAGTCCTCGAAACGGTATCTTTAAATAATCAAACAAAGCGAAATAATTTTCAAAAATCAAGAAAATGCTCAAATCTGAAACAATACTGGAATCATATTATACGATATGTCTTTAAAAAAAAACGTAATGATAACAAGGGGGAAAAACAAATTTCTCCAATACTACGAGAATTCAACTAAAAACCACCGAGAAAAACCACGTTACGTTTACCCGTGCTTTTTCACCGTTTCGTATTATCATTTATACCGAAACACCGTGCACTCTTTATTGAAACAAGTAAACAAAAGTGAGACTCGCCTACTAAAGATTCACAAGACTGTTATAACGCGATCAGAATAAACCGTAATATTCTTAAGTGCTTCGTCGTGGAGTATAGATGACAAGGGGAAAAGGAAAGCATGAAAGATGCAAGGAGCACAAGAACGATAGTAGCATAGCCTGTATTCATACTTAAACTCGCGGCTACGAATTATGAATGAAGACGAGTTTCCTCGTTAACGTTCCTTCTTGTACGCAGCTTCGTCATGTCCCTCGTTTAACCGGTTCAGTCACACATGTTTTTGTTCAAAATACCTTCGTTTGACGAAATTAAGCTTGCAAAATCTAGCTTTATCCACGTTGGCATGCGAAGGGAGAAGAACTAGTCCAAACAATGTGAAAATGAGATTGCTTCGATTGACAAATTATTAAAAATTCTTTAAATCGAGTACACAGTCAACTGACTATTTGTTAAATAATTAATTACACAAGTAAGAAATTGTTATATCTTCAGGGAACACAGAAAGCACCAAAGCAACGTTTTAAAAATATCAACGTATAAAAGTATCACATTTTTAGTGTTTCAAAATTTATCTTCTTTCTCCTGAAAAATTTCAGTTTTTGAGGTCTGTCAAATTCTCCCTTGCACCCTTCTCACACAGAAAAATCATTTTTCTCCTAATTTGTATTACTGTAAAAATAATGTATTACTGTAAATAAAATAAAATGATTTCCCTATTAAAATAACTTATCAAATAACCTCATTTAATACAATATTTTAAAATATTTCAATATAACAATAAAATCAAAATATTTCCTTAATAAAACAACTTAACAGCTCATTAAACAATCCAATTCTATTCCTTCAATTTCTAACTCTTTTTATTGCGTTGAAAAATTCACGGATATAAAAACAGAAATAAATGAAAAAACATAACAGAAGCACAGAAATTTTTCCAATATTTCCAGCACTTTGCTAAATAGAAATGGCGGAATTTCACACGGACTTCTCGACATTATAACTCACGGAATCGTGACGTTTACGATCGCTAAACGAATTTACCACGACCTGTTTAACTCGAACACGAGAAGCTACAACGGAATACGATCATCGCTCCAATAACAATATATCCTAAACTCCACGTTTTCGTGAATTGTGTTAATTACCCTGTATGATTTAACGGCCCGGGGGAAACCATTCTCGTCGCTCATTTAATTCGCACACGGCTACGATTGCCGATGATTATTACACGAAGGAAGAAGTTTCATCTTGGCGGACCTACGATAAATCGACACGATATCAGTTCTATTATTGTCCCAGTTCAAACCAATCAATATCACGTTGCTCATAATGCTTTTTTATCGATACCAGAACTGCTATATTTTTTACACTGCAATCAATTATTCGCGTCTTAAATTTCTTCGATTTAATCGAAGCAGCGTTTGGTTCGATGAAAATTTCGGGAAATTCGTCGAAACAAATTGGTATTTGTTGGAGCAGTTAACACGAATAACGTTTGCTCGAAAAAATTCCGAAAGGAAATAAAAGTAACAGATTTTAGTAACATTATTTTGTTTATCAAAATTGAAATGTTTTTCTTTTAATATATTTTTTGGAAGTAACATTAATTTGGCATATTTTATACTTTTTGGAAGCAAAATTAATTTTCGATATTTTATATTTCACCTTTCATATCTTGAAATTTATAAATGAAAAAATATATCGTAAAATATGCGGAGAAAAGAATAAATCTTAGCAAAGTGCCGGGTAATTTTTCATCTCAAAACAGCTCCCTTTTTGTATTGCAATATTTTTTCACCGAATAATTCATAATTACTACGCTCGAAAAAACCAGCATGCTTGAATGCAATCGTACACCTTTATTACGTGTATTGCGATAATTGCGCTCGTTTATCTCACTTATGCAAATTACATTTTAGGCTTTAAGTGAGATTAAGCAAATCAGAATAAAAAGCATTCAGACCAATCAGCGGTACCCTTGTAACATCATTGTTTTTATTAACCCTTTGCCTCTTCATTTTTCAACCATCCCTCGTCTGTCTATCTTTCAATTTCGTCCCTTTAACTTCCGTATCTCTCGGTCGTTTTAACTGTATCGTTATTTCAGCACGAGTTACAATTTTTCTTGGACAAAAGGAAACAAGATCGAAGAACTACTTTTAAGTTCGATCGAACTTCATTCTTTCCACCTACTTCTTCCTTCATAAAAATTGCGAAAACTTCGATACCTTTAATTCAGCGACACGAGTATCCGAGTATTTTTGCGGAGAAAATGATAGAACCACGTTGGGAAAATGATATAACAATGTTAAATGAAAATGTTCAATTCTATTCTTTGTACCTAACTCTTAATTATTTTCACTAAAGTGACGAGGAATGTGTTGTAAATGAAAAATTATTTTTTCAATCTAATTTCCTTCTATCTAACCTTTCAATTATTGTCAATAAAGTGACAAAGAATATATTGCGAGCCGAAAATTACCGAAAAATTACCTTTAAAGTACAATTTTTTAAATTTAATTTCCTTACATCTCAACCTCCTAATTATTTTCAATAAAGTGACAGAATAAACCGAGTAAAAAATTGCAGAAAAATTATTTTTCAAATACATTTCTCAGTTCCATACACCTAACCTCGTTTTTTAACCTAATTTTTTTTTTTTTAAACGAAAAAAAAATAATTTTCCCCTTTTTCCATCGTTACTTTCGCGTTCCCCAAAAATACCACGCAAAGATAATACCGTTCCAGTTTCGAAAATGGCTGCGCCAAAATTTCTGCAACGCGTTTAACTATGCGTTAATTTAACGGCTGCTGGTAATCCGCGGTTTAATTGATCTATGGACAGAACCGCGCGCGTTCTGTTTCGCCTCTGTCCACCGTGTAATATCAGCATTCTGGAAATTAATACCAGACCGCAAATGGACAACTTGAATTCCGTCACTCGATACGCGAATGACTCACTCGTCAGCGGAATGACTTTCTTCGAAGAAAACGCGAACACCAATGAAGATTTTCTGAAGAAATCTACTCACCTCGGTTTGTGTATCCATATTAACCATCCTTGATGAAGTAGAACGTGACTTCCGGATTACGATGGTCTCTGAAAACCAGAAAAATTTAAATATTAGTGCAAGAAATAAAAAAATGTGTTCTAACATAATCTTTTTTTATTTTCTAAAAAGAACTGTTCAATTATTCTACACTTAACATTATGTTTTCATCGACACAAAAAATAAAAAGTGTGCTCTATTACTTCGTATATTTTATTTTCTAAAGAACTATTCAATTCTATGCTTAACATTATGTTCTCACTGTTCGATAATTGTGTCGGGAGAAACCACCACGGAACAACCATAATTAATCCATTCAGCCTACCAACTTCTCGTTTCTCTCCCAAAAATCGTATTTTCCTTATTCCTATCCGTATTTTCCTCGAATCTTCTTTTCAAATAAGTCATAACACTTGAGCAAATACCGAAACATTCCCTTATGGGATTAATTAACCGCTAATCCCTCGTGTATTTCCCTCAACTTCAGCGAACTTAATAAACTTGTTCTACTGTTTAATTGCAAAATATCCACGCTCCCGTTATTAAAATTCGCCGTTACCTTGTATCAACCCCTTAACCCTTATGCCAATAACCGGGTACCCTTTTGCACATTTTCTCACTTCAAATATACCATCTTCCCGGTAAAAGATTTTAATATCCTGCCAGACTTTCAATATCCGTGTTTGCTTCAAGTTTACAATTTTGCAATCAGAGAACTATTAAAATTGGACGATAAAATAGACGACAATTGTGGTTATCGACACAAGGGTTAACGTGCGATTTCTTTTCCTAACTGTTTCAGCACTGTATTAAGAAAGAAAAGCTAATGTATTGTGGATTAATTAAATTTGGTAAACTTCAGTTTTGTAAATTACATCGAAAATTAGAATTAAAATTAATTTTTGGTACCGGTACGACTGTTTTTATCACATCTTGACTAAAAGCTATGGCACGAGTCTGGCTCGTTGTTTGCTCGAGTCTGTACGTTAACGTAATTAACAATATTTCTATAAAAATACAATAAAAATACAAAATTTCTATACAAAAATCTTGGAAGATGACGGGGAAGGAGGGAAATGGATGGTACGCAGAGAAAGGAAAAGGAGGGAGATATTGTAATGGGAAGAAAAGTGTGCAAAGAAAGTCAAAGCTTAGAAAAACAAGGGATCATATTGTATTAGGCTGTGCCATATTGTATATTTATACAATGAAAAATATTTCTATATTTTCCTTTAACAATTTTTCATCCTCTTCCGAAAGTATCGTCAAATCGCTTCCCCATTTGTCCGACATTTCTACGTCGAGACACGCTTCCAAGATAAACATTCGTGCAAACAATTTTACGAAACAACCGCGAACCTTTTTCGTTTTATAGACAAGGGTTAATCTCTGAAACGTATCACTCACGAGGTTTCCCTCGACAAACATCCAACGAACGCTTTTCCACAGCTGACTTGCCTAATCCAAAGTAGCTGCTGCGCTCCGATTATTATCAACATCGCCTTTTTGAAATCGTCTTAATCTCGCGCGTAATTCCCGTTGTTACGAAAATACACGTTCCCTCCGGCCCGTTTATTAGCTATGTTATTACTAGCGTTAACGTTAATACGTAGCATACGTAGACACTCGACGGTGTTGACGAAGGCGCACAAGTGGTCCAGAACTTAATCAAAGTTTCGAGCACCGGCTGAAATTTCGTCGCGCCTTGTAATGTTCGTTGTTCCCTTGATTTCGCAGATCGACGAAGAACGTGTACATCGATCGAAGTTGCAGTTCAGCTATTATACAGGGTGGTCCACGCAATTGTTACATAGTATAACTACGTTACCGGTAGGTACAGTTACAGAAAAATCTCATAGGAGAAAAGTGAATGGTACTTTTTTAACGCTAGGTTTACGGGACGCGCCATTTTCACGCATTTCGAATTTCACCACTTATGCTTGTTATAAATTTTATGTAAATATATAATATCACATAGTTTCATTTATAAGTCAACAGTGTAAAATATGTTGTTTTTTAAAGAAAATGTGCGGTTTCGTTCACGCGTCAATTTGACGCCACTGGATTTTTGCTTGTGGGAAACAATAAAAGAAAAGGTTTATCAGACAAAAGTTAATACACGTGAAGAATTAATGCAAAGAATTTGTGATGTATTCGCGGAGAAATTAAAGGAAATCAATTAGAAATTCGAACCGTAGTAAATTCAATTTTCGATTACTTTACGCGGTCCACCCTGTACATTAATAAAGATATATGTAAGCAATGATAAGGAGATTCCAGATTGAATAATTTCTTTGATCAATTAATAACTTTCTAACGACTATTTAAATTTGTCTCACATTCGGCAAGTGTCCTGATATTTGAGCCAGTTAGAAGCCAAAGTGACCAACTCCATCAAATCAAATTCATCAAATTTGTTTTATTTATGGAAAATTAAACACCAAGCATATGCTTTGATGTTAAAATTGGAAGTATGTGAAAAAGTGGAGTTGATCATTTTGACTTCTGAGTGGCTCATTTATAAGAACAGGCGACACTTTGAAATGAAACTAACGCCAATGCTGTATGTCCGTTGTTATTTCCTACTTTTGTTATCATTTTTTTAATCAAGCATTTCTGAGGTTATGTTTACCTGACACTTTTCTCTTATTTTTATCATTTTGCATCATTTTGCTGAAGAAAGTAGAGACACCTTCGAAATCATTTAAATTACGTATGAAAATAAAAAAAATTTAAATAATTAGGTAGCCTGTTTTACGTGACCCACCCTGTGTATAGAGATTCCAACGACGGACAGCATGATATTTCGAAAAATTTGAAAATACGACGAATATTTAGATTCCCTGGAAAACCGGTGGAACGGCAATTTCACAAGCTTAAAATCTAACAAGTTTAGGATCATGAAAAAGTTCTACCTACCTACGAAGAATGATAAATTCATTTTGGTACAAAGTGGCGGAGAAACATCCGATAAAATAGAACGTAAGCCTTTGAATTTGTGGAGGGCGATGAGTACGCGTGCAGGAAAAGGTTCGATAAGAGGATTCAGCGATGAGAATTTTTAAAAATGAATTATGTTACGCAAACACTCGCCCGCGATTTATTTTCAGAAGCTCGATATTTCTTTAAATTCCGCCTCGTGCCGCAAAAAGAAACCCGTTCCAATTTTGTCCGCACTCCGCGCGATATTTCCGTGCTTGATTCCCCGTCGCCATTTTCAGTCGAACTCCATCGACACATTTTGACAATTCAATTGAAAAAATCCTTCGCGAGCCTTCAACACCGAAATTACATTGATTTTTCGTTTAATCATTCTCGTGATTTTAAATCGTTCCAAATGGTGAAAATAATAAAAAATAAAAAAGACGATGAAACTGATAAGAGAGATTATCGAAGTTACACTGATTTTTCGTTTTATCATTCTCATGAATATAAATCATTCCAAATGGTACAAGTAATAAAAAATAAAGAAGTGATAAAACTGATAGTAGAGATTATCAGATGAAAATGTTCACTTTTACGCTGCTAAAAGCTTCTGTACTGGCAATGTAAGTGGACTATCTATCGAGACAATCTCTGTGACAAATATAATACGATAAAAATGCAAATTTGTCGATAACGCGACGACTGTTCGACGGAGACCTTGAACTAAATTCGAAGATTCGTGAAATGAAGAATTTATCAACGAGTTCTTTCTTCTCGAAATCACCAGGCTAATTAAGTCAAATCGTAACATTAACAATATTTCTCGAGATGATTGTTAATTATCGCTAGACTATAACTGTCTCGTTAATTAATTATTTATAGATTATTTCTACCGGAAGAGAAATATTAGGTCACCCCATAAAAGTTCGTGTCGAATTTTCTAACTTAGATCAATATTTCCAACGAACTATTAAATTCGATAAAAAACAATACGTAAATTCCTCCTCATCCCACAACTTTTTTCTATCTTTTTTTTTTGGTAAGATTATTATGTCATCGCTATAATACAATATTTCCTTGGATTTTCATAAAAATATTTTTCGCCTTCGACATTACTTATGGTATGACTTAATATATTCTATTTTATATTAAACAGTGAATTCCACGTTATTGATTAGATTTCAACATCAACAATGACCCTGGTACGAAAGAGAATCGCTAATCATTATCGCCGGAAGTTTGTCGCAATTCTGCCACATTGCGTCGAGGAAAATACACGTTTTTAAGATATTTTATCGACATTCTGCTTCTCGATGTTTACGTATCAACTTGATTCCATGAAACTTCGTTTAACGGAATTAATTAGTTAATTACGCCGATTGAAAGCGTTTGGAGCAAGTTCACTCGATGAGAGGATACCGTTCGTTCGTTCGTGATTTAACGTAACAAAATTCATTACAACGTGGCCCGCCTTTCAGCATTTATTCCGCGGTTCGTTTAATTTTCAATTTATTAAGATTGTTTGACCATCGGGGAAATCTGCAAGTTCTGAATAAAGGGATCCCGAACAATTGGCTGTCGGGCTCTGAATAGAATCGAATCGCTCTCCCAGTCTCCGCATAATCGAACGCTTTCGATTTCGCCTCTTCGCTGCGCGCATAATGTTCATCATTTTCACGTTCGAATATTCGCAAGTTAGTTTTGTCCTGTTCAATATTCATGCCGAATTGTGGCTCGATAATAACACTAAAATACCAATATTGTGCTGAATAAATGTTTCGACAAAATCTGTTCTACGTGGAACATTCAATATATGCGAATAATTTCCAATCAATCTTCATTTTATAATTGACAGATAACTTTTACACTGAGTTTGCGTTATTATAAAATCAAAATTATGAATTTTCGTTCGAACACAAAATCAGATTATATATCAGCCCAAATAAATTACTTTATGAAAAGGAATTATTTATTTTATGGAAAAAATGTGCCTAAAATTATTTGATGAAAACGAACTAAAGACTTTGTAAACATTTTTCCATATATACAAAATTTTCAACAATTGTTATTACTAGCCCAATTCAATGAAATCCTTCAAAAAGGGGAAAATTCTTTATTACCAACA